TCCGGCAGCAACGCAGGATTTATTCGAGGGAGACAGAGCTTTTACGCATGCTGCGTTTATTTTTGTTATCAGCTTAGTCGTTGACCTAGCGTAGACGGCTCTCAACGGCTTAACCCGCGAGTGAACCCACACCGGTCTGCCATTGATATGTACATAGCTCTGGGCTTAAAATTCAATTAAATCAAACATGCGATAAGTTTAAGCCACCCTGAGGATTTCTACAATCTTATGTCGTCTTGAACGCGACGATGTGGGCGGCCAATCTCTAGGCCGCGGTTTAAAATCAGCACGATCAATGCGTGGCGTGGCTCCAACAGAGAGTGTACTGTGTACCTGATAGTATTAGGATAAGATAAGCCTGCCATCTCCACAGCGATGGAGACTCTGGAACCCGCTCACGATCTTGAAATTGAATCAGCTGGAGTCAGACGCCGAAGCATGCCCGAGTTCAACCCCGATGTCACGTGTAAATACCGTGCAGAACGCCACGGGCTAGGCTGTATACAGTACAGCCTAATAGAGCGCATCAAGGGGGGAAAGCCGGCGCTCTTCACAAAGCGAACTGGCCTGTACGACACATCCTGTACCTCCATCTACCCAGAGCTTGCTTCGAGCTGCCGAATAATTTTTTTACACTCATCAGCCTTTGGGAAGTACCAAGTACTTGTGGAGGTGATCCAAGGATCCAAACCCTTGGCACTCGCCGCTAGTCTGACGCTGTGATAGCTCTCCGCCGTGCCACTAGAGCTACGCACGTAATCTCGCCGCGCGCTGCGGGAGTCTGAGCCTGATGGGGGTGCTCCCGAACCACTGCAAATAAGGTATAGTGCAACGTAAGTACATTCCCATCCAACTCGAAGGTATATAAAGCGGGACTACAGGACTAAGGAAGAGTAAGGGTTATCCTCTCCTTCTCGCCTCGCAAACAGCTCATCATGCCTAGCTTCAAGACCATCCTTGGCATCGAGCCCTCTATCGCCAACACCTCCGACTCCATCCTCCTCCTTATCGACCCGCAGAATGAATACGCCTACGGGGCACTGGCCATGTCCAAGCAGGTACTCGCCAGCACACGCCCCGTCATCGCTCAGCTCGTGGAGAGGTACCGCGCAGCCGGTGGAGTCGTCGTGCACATCTTGCACACCGTACCGGAGGGCACTCCCGTGTTCACCCCCGGCACTCCGCTCGCAGAGGAGTTCGCCGAGCTCGCGCCGCGGGATGGGGAGGCGGTGGTGAGGAAGCGCCTTCCAGGATCTTTTATGGAAACCAACTTGAAGGAGATAATCGACGCCACGGGCTTGCACAAAATTGTCCTCGTCGGTTACATGGCGCATGTCTGCGTGAGCACGACTGCACGCGAAGGTTACCAGTTGGGATATGATGTTTTCCTGGCTGAAGATGCGGTCGGGGGCCGGGATATCCCTGGCGCAAGCGGAGAAGAGGTCGCGCAGGTAGATATCTTAATGGGTTGCATGGGAGCCGAAGCTGATCGAGATACTCAGATGGTGATGCTTGAGCTCGACGATATCTTTGCAACGATCGTGAAGAGTGGCGAGATCAATTAGCTGTCGTGTTGGCAAAGATTTCACCCAACGCGTAGGAAACGCTTTGACCGGGCGAGATTGTCACTTTCACCATATGTATTAGTTCAGACACACCTGTTTCTCATCCAATTGACTGAGTTTTCCATGAGTCGGAGTTGGACGTACATGCCGGGACATAACCAGTAAGCTTTGCGGTATGGCACACTGCGATAGTGGGCTAGAGTTAAAAAGCATACGCGCTGTGTTTTTGAAAACCTTTGCTTCTTGGGCTTTAGCACATGGTGGCCCTTCGCATGCGACGCGATGAATTGAGTTTTGCTCGTTTCGGGTTGTCCATCCATCACGCCGCGAGAACCACAACGGCGACTAGACTGAGCCACAAGCCAAGTTAGTTGATACAAGTAGCCCCACGATGATTACCGTTCATCCCAGATGGCGGCGAATCTCAGCCAACGCCGCGGCCGACATGAGTCAGTCACCCTAAGGAATTGAAGATAGATGAACATTGCCCGAAGCGAATCTGTCAGCGAAGATGATCAGTGGCTGAGGATCGGTTTTACCCATCTATAAATCCAGTACTGTTGACCGTCCGTCCGCAGGAGGCTCACCTTTCGGTAGTGTTTGTGGGTGACTGACGCGCTGACTGCCCAGAGGCTCAACATTGGCATTTTGAAATTTGGAGAAGATAGAGAGTAAAGGATTTAAGCAGGACCGCATTCAAGCCAACGGTTCCTGAAAGTAACGTCGTGGAACTTGAGATCAAGTCGCGCAGAAGTAAGGAGAGAAACCCACGAGTCAGGTTGAATCCGTCGCAGCCTTCGCAGCCTTTGCCGCCATCCTTTTTTGCTCCATGCACACAGCTCCAAAAAGGTCCTCGGTATCGTCAGGAATTCGTGAACCGCGCCCTTGATAGAAGGCTTCCGCGTGAAGGCGGCGAGGAAGACATCGTGGGATTCCCAGCCTCCTCCAAAACGCTCCAAGTAGTCCGCGGCGGTGTTCAGATAATAGTATTTGCCGGCGGCCTCGAACACGACTAAGGGATCGGGGACGTTGGGCACGAACGCGAGCGGGCGGATGGTACCGGGGACTTTCGCAACGCGCTTGACGAAGAATTCCATCAGGCTGAGGTCGTGCCAGGATGGACGGATGTCGATAAAGTAGCTACTGTTCCATTTCTCCCAGCTGCACGAAAAAACGTCGAGGTCGATGTCGGCACGATAAGGCTCGGCGAAACGCTCCCTTTTCCAGCGAGTCTTTTTCTTGGAGGAGGATTACGCTGAGGGTATCGTTTATTTCTGCCTAAAGCCTACCTTGTCCGCAGGTTGGTCCGATGTGCTCGCCTGCGGCACCGTCGACACGGTGGACAGAGAGTCCGTGGCTACCGTAGCATTTCTGTGGCAAAAGTTAAATGTGAGCAAATGGACCGTTGGATAAGGGTTAAGCACAACATGGAATAGATAATGGGCGAAATTTGAGGACGGAATGGCATACGGCGCAAAGCGAGCATGGTGGCAAAAAGCAAAGGAGAACCCGGAAGAACGGAACATCACCCATCACTTTTCGGGGTTGCGATCCGAAGCCTCTCTTTCTTCCCGGCCAGAGTCATGTCGCCCAACGTCGCCGTCGATACTGTACTATTTCGCTCAATTCTCCACGGCTGTGACCCGTGACATAAATTTTCGAACTTCCGTTTTCGAAAATCCGCGGAATCCACCGTGACCGGGAAAAGAATTCGAAAATGTTGCCGAGATTGGCCTATTGGTATGGGGTTGAAACACTGTTAAAAACACACAATTTTAGCTTGATTTGCTAGGATTGAACCAAAGGTTAAATTGTTGTTACTTACCACTGCAAGACTAGGCCCCAAGGAGTTGTAGACACCCAGAAAACAGGTAGCCCGCAGCAGATATTTGATATAGTTGAGCAGCAGCAATCTCCGGTTTAGCGTTTCAGTGAGCGGTGCAATTTTTTCAACCACAAGGCATTGTGGAGGAGAAAAATCGATTTTTCAACTCATTTTCATCAATTTTGTGACTTCTTTTCAATGTTCGAAAATGCTCCCGGTGACCCGTGACAGGTTCAAAAAATTTCTGAAATTTTGGGGCCCGTGACGCGTGACTTACGAATTGAGCGAAATAGTACAGTAGGCGCGAAGGACTGTCCGGAACCGCGTTGCAGGTCTTCTGTTGAGACTCGACGGTAATCTTTTTGTGCAAATTGAAGCCATGTAGTCACTTCACGCTGGTACCGCTCTGCTCGAACTGCTCCACGGGATGAATCTCCCGAATAATCTATCCCACTTCCTCTGGCAGCAATAGCGATTCTTTCTACTCTGCTGCGCCCCCGCCGGCTAATTCCAATTCGCGACTTCTGTGATATTATGTTCTCTCAATCTCTCTGATCTTGCTGGAACCGTCTACCGCTCCTCCCTCTGCGTCGACACCTGGAATGTGAGCTTGCGTCGTTCAATGGTTGAACCTCTCTCTGAGCTCAAAGAGGGCGCCTCGACTCCTCCGGGCACCACTCAGCGGATTGAGCGGCACTACTAGACATCGACTCTTCGTCAGATGCAATTGACCTTTCGACACACTCAGGCTGGAGTGTGAAGATTTTATCTACGTACTGATTTCCACTGTATCACCGCGTCTCCTGATCATATGACAAGATCGACCCAGTCTGAACGGGATACCAGCAGCTCTGTGAGTCGGACTACAGACAATTCTTTTCTTCAGACAACAATTATCATTGAACCTGGCGTCCCCGCGTTTGAATGAACGGCTCTTCAGTCAACTCGTCTTTTCCACTCTATTCCTCACTCTTGTACTCGTGAAGGCGCGCTAAATCTTTCTAAGTTCAAAATTAGGGGATATCTTCAGGAAGTCACGAATTCTTTCTTTCTCGTCGTTCCCTCGACGAAGCATGCGAGTCACGATAAAAACATAGGGCATGCTGAAAGCGGCACACTGCAAGTCTTCGGCGTTTCAATAAACTCGTCGTTCAGCGTTGAACGACACCCAATCTAGTTTCATCATGCTGCCTCGACTCACACCGACTTGGGTGTTACTGTGCCTGAACTCCTGGATGTGACCACTCCGCACCTTTTGAATCTCGATGTCAACACTTTCCCAACCAGGCAAAGTAATTCACAGCTGAGCTCGGGCGACCCGGGGGCAATTAGAATCTCAGGCGTTGTCTAGGCAAAGGCCCTAGGAATTTTATTTCATCCAGAACAAAGTGTTAAGGGACAGGCGTAAGATGCGACCTCAGGAGCGAGAGCCAAAATGGCCGGTGTGGACAGTTTGAAGAGGTTCTCATTCGCCGTCCGCCTCAAGATCAAGCAGTCACAAGAGCGAGCGGAACCCATGGAGATGGAGGTGGGTCTGGACGCCAGCCCGCACCTATATGCGGTCTTAATCTCAGCCGAGACGGGCAAAACCCGATGAAAAATATATAGAGCGACGTCGGTAGGACTTGAACCTACGCCCACATAGTGGAACAGATTGTCAACAATTCTGGTCTGTCGCCTTAACCACTCGGCCACGACGTCTTCTAAAGTCAGGCTCCACAATTGATTACAATCCGGGTCGGGGGAGTGAACGGCCTATTGGGCTGAACGATTTCCTCTCCCCTCTTCTCTCTTGGATCTATTCATCTCTGGTACTATCAGTCCAAATGGCTCCGAATTTTCCCAACGGGTCCGAATTTACTTTTTTTCTCCCTCATTTTTCAACCTTTTCCCTCGGAGTTTTCCGGTATTAATTTATGTAGTAGTCGTACGTATCCGTGTAAATTTACTAAGGAATCAAGTGAGGGGAGAATTTGGGAAAGTGTTGCCGGGGCATCAAACGTGGTATGTTTTGGCACAAGCACGTTGTTCTGTTTTGCTCGCTCACAGTGAGGCCCCGAGAAAATCTGAGGCCATATTTACAGGGAATTCAAAAAGTTCTGTCTCTAAGAATCTTTCTGCCGGGCCCGGATTAAGCTGCAATGGAAGGATTTTGAGGGCCATCATCGAAGGCGTGACATATTCAATCGCCGCCCACATCACAGTGATCATCAACCAACTCGGCGCCGCTTCCGTGGCAGGGAAATCACGATCAATCAGCGAAGATCTGGATGCCGTTTGTGACATTGAGTGACTAAACGAGGCCCCTCCATATTGCAGTCGAAGTCTTCCCTAGTAAAAAAATCTGAGGAGGCAAAATGTCTCGAGAACTGTCTAATAATACCCTCCAATTTTCCTGGGGCTTTCCGGACATTGGGTAAAGCACAATGTTGTTGATGTCCCAAAATGCCCTAAGTTTGATGGACCGGCGACCGATTTTCTGTATCTTCACCTCCTTTAATTCCTTAGTAAATTTACACAGATACGGACGACTACTCCACGAATCAATCCCGGGAAACTACGAGGGGAAAGGTTGAAAAATAAGGGAGAAAGAATGTAAATTCGGACCCATTGGGAAAATTCGGACCCATTTGGACTGATAGTAGGGAATTCATCAAGATCCGTCCGGACTTAGCCTCGTAGATTGAGCGAAGGGGATCGTCCATCATCGATGCATCATGCGTTATCCGATTGGCGATTACGAAAGTCTACGTAAAACTGTCGATTCTGCTAAAGCTCACCAGAAAACTAATGCAGTGAAAACCATACTCCAACGCACTAGGATCGTCCATCATCGATGCATCATGCGTTATCCGATTGGCGATTACGAAAGTCTACGTAAAACTGTCGATTCTGCTAAAGCTCACCAGAAAACTAATGCAGTGAAAACCATACTCCAACGCACTGCGTAGCCATAAAGGTGGGCGAATTCGTGCTCAACTTCCTATTTTGGACGCCGGTGTTGAGTACATTTGATTTGATGCAGCACCGCCACTGATTGCTGTACCTACTAGGTAGTATTCCGAGGTAATGGCCCTCTGGGCGGAGCCTGGATACTCTCGCAGACAATCGTACCTTACAGCTTTCATTGTAGAATCACGACCAGTGCAGCTTTGTAAAAAGTGGAGGTCAATCAGAGACAAGTTATGTTGTACGATCAAAGTGACCTCCCTAGACTCGTATGCCGACGGCAAATAACCTCATCACTTTTCTCTGCCATAGCGCAGACTGGTAACGAGTCTATGACCTCCCAGCCGCAACGAGGAGGGCTCTCCGTATGATGACAGGGTAATATCTACCAGTAGCTCCAAAACACATCCCAGCGACCATCGGAAGGAAAAAAATGATCACACCTGGCAACTTGGTGGGAATGGGTGCGAAGGCAAGACAGTGAATCTGCAAGCGGTATCAACGCCGCAGTGTGCAATGAACCACAACAGGCAAAAACTGGCTTATCAAAACATTCTCATGGTTGATTTTGAGGAAAGGAAGAGATCAGGTAATAGTCCTGCTCTGACGAAAGGCACTCCGTGTAAAGTTCCTTCAAAGGCAACCGACGAATGCGATGCTCCGAGGCAGGCAAGACAAAAGGAGATCCACAACGGACTGCATGCGCAGAAACGCGGCAGATACATTCTTCAACAGAAAGCGGAAAATCTGGAGGTGGCTGCTGCTTCATCCTCGGAGAATGAACCACACTTAAGAAAATGGATTGGATGGTCACATTGGGGTACTTTCGTCGCGACAAAAGTCCCCAACACCTTGTGACCATGTTTTGGCACTGGGAAAAAAAACCTTTATGGGAAATTGTCCGCTTGCAAGGACTAGGCCCATAAGGGAATAACTTCTATATCCGGACAAAGTTGCGGTACTGAAGACCTCGGATACTAAAAGTATCCAGGCACTACCTCTTCTTTGCTCCTCAAGGGTATTATGGGCATAAGGACAGTGGGTTTTTGTTTAAACTACCGTCTGCTCTGTGTACTTGAACGTTCCTTCTGGCTTGGTTGAGCCTCAACATGCCCGAGATACCCGGGCAGAGTGCTGGATCACGCTGACCTGGTATAGTTGCACGTTCTTCGTCTCACGAGTAACATGAAAACTAAATTCCACTGTTGCGGTGACGGGTGACATGTCGTGAACATTGGCGTACGCTAGCCTAAAGATAGATGTACGCATTTGGCTAGAGTTGTGTTGTAGAAGTTCGACACCAAGTGGCACTCGGCCACAAATTTGAACGAGGACTTGACAGTATTACAATTTATGTGACTTTAGATAATTCGACTTGAATCGTCGAGGATAAAGTCGCAGAAAATTTGCTCAATTGGACAAAGGAACATTATGGAGCCAGCGCTCCAACATATCCTGCGAACCGCTTGAGCTGTAACACTCGAGAGTACAAAGGGAGGCACGCACCAGCGCCGCTTCCGGCTGATCATGAGGAACCATGTGCCTGATGAGAGAAAGCGTCAACACGGAGTCTTCAGTTGACGAGCCATGAGGTCACATACCCTGCCTCAAAAACCGTTATATACGTGACGTTACCGGCGCCCTCGCCTGCGCTGCTCACGACTCCAGCTTGGCGGTTGGATACGGTCCACGGAAGGTAACCTGCCTCTTTGAAGGCCTCCTTGTGCACGGAGGGGAACTCCGCGACCCACCGTGAATTGCCCTGCAGGAAGGATGTTAAGGGAGTCGGTCGGAAAGCTATCGAACGCACCATGTAGTTGCACACCGTGTCTATTTTGCGAATCAATTCGTAACTCGCGCGCGGGTACAGATTCGGACAACATACCGGTATTCCCAACATATACAAGGAGTCTGATACCCTCGTCGACGAGCTCGGTCACCAAACTCTTTGTATCCCGCACCCCGTCTCCTTGGGGCATGAATTTCAAAGTCGTGTTTATATTGCATCCCACAAATTCAGGCGCATGCGGGTCCACGCCGAGCGCCTCTCTGACTTGCGGACGGTTCATGTACTCTTCAATCCAGTGGTCCTCCTTGTAGCAGTCGGGATTGCTGTCGCAGAACAGGCGCACGTCGTGGAGGTTGCGGTTTGCGGCTGAGGTTCTTCTGATTCAGGCTCGCCGTCAACACTCGAAAAAAAGACACACCGGTCAACGGGTTGTACAGCGACCAGCAGTAGAACGTCGCGGGGGCACACACCGCGCGCGTATTGAGCGCATGGCATGCCTTGATCATCCGCTCACAGATGGGTCCTCGGATGCGCAGGTCGCGACACTGCGGGCTGTCGGGACTGAGAACCGCAAACGGTCCATCACAGGCGTATTCCACCACCGAGGGCATCTGGATGAGGGGGTCTGTGAGTGCGTTACCGAGCATGATCGATTCGAGGTCGAGTCTGCGCAAGCCTGCTGAGGGTGCATGAACAATTTGATTGTTTTTGTGGTGCACCACGCTTGCGATGTGTGGTACGAAATGTCCTGATAATTGGGCGTTCAAAGCGTTGTGGATCCGAAGGGTGAAGAAGATTACCTGCATAACTCTCGCCGGCGATGTGGAACGGCTGAGTTGAATATTCTTCGAACCGACGAACAAAAAGTTGAAGAAAGGCGTAAACGTCCAGCGCGGCTTCGGGCGTGGTCTTTACATGGCTGCTCTTGCTGGATGAGAAAGAGTACCCAGTTTCGACAGGCTGATCCATGAAAATAACATTGGCGTGGTTGTTCCATGCTGTATTTCACCAGTAAGTCGGGGCAAAACAAATGGGAAGCCAGAGCGCACCATGCGGATTGTAATTGGTGAAAACGGTCCCATTGGCACCTTCAGTCCTGTTGATGTTGCAGGGACCGAATTCAAAGAGGAGACCGGTCATGGAGCTACAGCCAGGGCCACCGTTGAGCCACAGCACTAGCGGATCGGAAGAAGGCGACGAGCGAGATTCAAAAACCTGTCGAGCAACGTTCAGGATCTGAGGAAACATGAGCAGAATGAGAGGGTGACCAGAAGAACAAATGTTTGTCTTCCGCCATATCTAAATAACCCGAATACTGCTTGACCGAGTCGTCGCATAGGGTGGGTTTCTTGAACCGCAAAGAGTGTTCGGGTAACGCAGGATGCGACACGTACTCATCTGCACGATTGCGTCGTCGATATCATCTGCACGACTAGATGCTCGACTTACAAGACATCGAGTTGCCTTCCTTGAGGCCCAGGACCTGTTGTTCATCGACGGACGGGAGCCCAAGGACCGTTGGGACCATATGTGCGAACAACACCAGGCCCAGGTTAAGAAAGCTGCAGAACCTCATCCTTGGTCGTCGTTGGTAGGTAGAGAAAAGCGTCGATTTGTTTCGCTGTCCACAGCGCGCAGGCCCGCGGTAGATCGAAGTCAATAGTAAGCGCCGTGGAGTGCGGGTCCAGGCGTGGGATTCATTTCGTCCCGGGTGGCCGAGGTTGAACATCTCACGGTTCGCTATAATAGTTCGAACGGTTTCAATCAGAATGAGAACGACGTGTCACCAGCAAAAAACAATTCTGCGGGGATGAGAGGTTGGAAAGTAACCAGGACCAATGGAAACGTCGCTGCGTTGAACAGCACTTTTTCCTCCCCCAAGTGCAGTGGAGCTCTTTCGATTGTATTGACCCTTCATCTACAATTATCCTTCACACATGAAGGATGGATCGAGGCCGCCTGA